AGGGTCCGAGAAGGGCCCGAGGCACAGTATCTGCACCTGGTCGGGCTAGGCGGAGAACGCGCGGCGGTACAACGCGACGCGGCCGCCGGACTTCCCGCTCGCGGCGGGCTTCAAGGTGCCCGTCGCGATGTGGTCGGGCGCGCGCGACTCGCTCGCCACTCCGGCGGACGTGGCGCGGCTGCAAGAGGCGATCGCGCCGACGGCGGCACCCGCCCGCGGCACCTGACGCGTCCGTGACATGTCCATACGCCGTGTCCCGTAGGCGCTCGCGCCGACGGGGAGGGTGGTGCACCACGCGGAGGTGAACACACACGCTGCAGCCTCTCCCTCTCCCCACTGCTGCCTCTCTCTGCCTCCACCACCACCACCACCACCTCTCTCGCTCTCGCTCTCTCACACACACACACACACACACACACACACACACACACACACACACACACACACACACACACACACACACACACGCCAACGACCTCTCCTCTCTCCTCGCACAGGTCGATTTCGCGCATCTCGACTTTACTTGGTCGACACGCGCCGCGGAGGCGGTCTACCAGCCGCTCCTCTGCATGATGCGCGCACGGCTACCGCCCGAGAGAGGGCCGTGCGCCGCCGAGGCTGCAGCCGAGCCCACACCCGGCCTTGCAGCCGAGCCTGCGGCCGAAAGACGGCGCAGCGGCGTCTTGCAATGAGAAAGTGCGAAGGTCTCGCGCGGCAGCTCGCTCGCTCGAGGCCGGCTCCTTCCTCCCTTCCTAGCAGCCTAGGATTCGGTTCGCCTCTTCCCCATCCAAGTCCCCATCTCCCTCTCGCTCTCGCCCATCGCGAGAATGGGGTCCCCACAGTAGAGTAGTTCATGCGCATCTGGGTGTGTTACATGCACAGCATACAGTGTCCAGCCTGTCAGATTCGCGCGTCGTGTCGGTCGAGAGCCCCTATTCTTGCGCCCATTTATTTTCGCGAGCCTGTGGTATCTGTCTACTAACGGGCTGAGCGGTATGCGGTATGCCGCGCCCGCGGCAAATGCCGCGCCCGCGGCAAAGAGTGAGGGCTCGACGGAGTGCGAGTGGGCCGCGGAGAGACAGAGAGCGTCCGAGACCGAGTCAGAGGTGACAGCACTGACAGGTAAGGTAAGGTAAGGTAAACGTCTCCACACACACAAAGTGGTGGGGCAAGGGGGGGCGACCCTTGCCCCACTGACACAAGTACTGACACGCGGGGAGGCGCCGTGTGCGCACGGGCGCCGTCCGCCAGTCACGTTACTCGTTTGACGGGTGCCCGGTGCACGACACTGCCGTAGTAGTACGCAGCAGCACACCGCCCGTACTAACATGAAGCTGGACGGCTTGAGGACATGCTGCTCTTATACTGCCTGACTGGTTTGGCGCCCCGCGAAGATTCGGCGCACGATCTTGTTGAATTCACGAACGTCCCCAAAGCCCGCTTCGATCACCGCCAGAAGCCGCTCGCGGTCCTTGGGTAAGAAGCACTCTGCCTTGGCCGCGTCGAAGTTCTCAAACGTTGCCGTGAGCTCCGCCTGCGCTTGGGCTGGATCCTTGAGCGGGTCGGCAATGAATAGGACCTCGATCCGCTCGACGGAGCCCCCCATGCGGAGGAACGTGAAGATCTCGAGCAAACACTTAAGGGTGGGGTGGTGGGGGAGGCCGCTCAGTCCTACATTATTAGAGATCAAGCAGCGGGCGTGCGCGGAAGATTGTGTGACGGCGGCGGCAGTGTTATAGCGGCCACTCTCACCCAGAGGCGGCGGCAGAAGGTCGGCCCCGCCACAACGAGCAGCTTTTGGCAGCCGGCGAGAAAGATTGGCAGGCACGTGAGCGATTGGTCAATGTTGGTCTGGTCAATGCAGGCCTTGTCCTGTGAAGGGGGGGGGGGGGGGGGGCGGGTAGAGACCGGTGTTGGTGCGCCTCGTGTACCTTTGCCGGGCAAGCGCGCACCAGCCACAGCGTGGGTTCGTGCCCCGTTTTGCGCCGTTGGCAATGAGCCCATTGTGCTATCGCCGTGTACTTGGCGCCGGGGATCTCTTCCTCGTCCTTCCAGCTGTGGCTCATAAACGCAGTGACCTCGCCCAGCCGCGCCGGAATCGATTTCGCTGCAAGGTCGAAGGCAGTCACCGCGGACATCGAAGCAGGCGAGGCTCGTCTCGAGCCAGTGGCCCCGGAATCAGCGAGATCATCGGCAGTGAGTTGGCTCGCAGGCAGGCAGCGGAAGAGCGCCTCTGCGGCAGCGAGCGCTCTTTCCGGATTGGCACGGCCGAGGAGCATCGCGATGGCTGCCGCCTCCTCCGCCTCACTACCGCGGCTACCGAGACGCCCAAGCCAGCGAGTCACCCGGCCGCGATTAGCAGGAGTTGCAAGGGCGGCGATAGCTATAGAGACGGCACCGAATATGATGTCACCAGCCCAAGCCGAACGTACGGATAGTAGCCCCGCACCAGACCAATCTGGGTGGTCGGCTAGCACAGCTGAAAAGAAGCCAACGTAAAGCATCCCATCACAGGCGGAGCTGAGGCGCAAGACCGCCCACATGCGTTGGAGTGCTTGGCGTGGCTGCATGACTGGTAGGCGTTTGCAGCCGCCACATGGCAGTGTGGCGACGAGCGCCGCGGCCGCACTGAGGTGCACCACGATCTTAGGCAGAAAGAACCTTTGGCACTGCGAACGGTGGGACACGGAGGGAACGGAGGGATTGGCAATCTCGATGCAGCCATGGGCATACAGGTAAGCGAGACCAAGGTAGAAGGCGAGGAAGACGGTGCATATAGTGCGAATCGCGCGCTCATCGGTGGGGAAGAGGGCGAGCAGGCCGAGGAAGAACCCCACCACCACCGGGATACGCCAGAAGTCCTTTTCTCCCACAACCTTGTCGATCGGGGTCCCCGCGATGCTCATAGCGACTGGCAAGATCCCGTACACGACGAGCGCCCACCCAATCTGCCCCATCGCGCCGCTCACCTGCAGCCGCCGCCGTACCG